CACTGCTAAAATAGAATAATCCCATCTTACTATCCAAGGGAGACCTTTATTGGTACTGCTGCCACTAAACTGCCTGGAAAAACAGAAGCACAATTCCTTTCACTGTTCTTCACCATTGAAGCTATTTCAGAGACAGATCCAGTAACCAGCAGCATCTCTGGCAATGATGAGACAAACTAAAATAAATGCAATTCAAGGATTTCAGAATTTCCCATGCTGTTTTAAGTGAGTTTTACTACACAGCATTTGTGTAATTCTGACTTTTTGGAAGGGTATTAAAGCTGGAAGGACATTATGAAGAAGTACTACTTAATTCTAAAAAAATCTAGCTACAAAACAAGCAACTAGAATTTTATCTAGGTCAGTGCCCCATCAAAACAATTGACACTTTAGGAGTATAACTGCTGACTGAAACAAAACTTGACTACATTTGGAAGGCTTTCATTGCCAGCAGAAGGTGAAGAAGTTGCAATAAGAGGAGGAAAACAAGCTCTCTCAACACTATGGAATTAAGAAATGTTTGAGATTAACAACATGGACAGTTATGAACAAGCCCATCAGTTATACTGATAAACTGATCACAATGAAAATCTCAGGTGTTTGAATAGGAAAAAATAAAATGGAAAACTAATTTTTTTAGCATTGAGTACAAATTTACGTAAGAATATTTTACATACTCTCATGACAGTTTGCTGTATTGGAACTTCAGAAGTTCACTATATTTCAAGGGTCTGCTAAAAGAGCGAGCTCAAAGATCCAAATAGGCCTGGTCCTGAGAAGTCAGATGTCTGGGGGTAAAGAGAAAATGTGGACACAAAACAGCTGAACACTCAGTGCCCACTAAACTCAAAGCCTTTAGCATCAAGTGGAGTAAAATGCATAAAGAAAACCAAAATGCTAGCGATTCAGCAGAAGCATAAGTGTGCAATACAAGATGCAGAGTCAGGTGTACACGTGTCACTGGATGGTTTGAAATTGCTAGAATCCTGTGCCCCAGAGAAAGAGGAATGTATGAAATACAAAGCCAGACAGAAAACAACTACTCCATTCACTTGCCAGCTGTGAGCCTGTTTTCTGGTGCATCCTGGAATGACTTGGAACATTACTGCTCGAATGCATGCTGCAGTTTATTGGATAAATGATTAGTTTGGGTCTCTGAACCCAAGTCTCCACACATTTTATAGCACTATGGATTCCATCCATGATCTGCAATGGTGACTTGTCAGCTACTCCCTCTACTCCACTCGCTGGTTAAAATATATTAGAAAGGGAATGAACAAGATTGCTCCCAGTTATAAGCATCAGCCTTCTCATCGCACTCAACGAAAAGCATCTCCTACAACCAACTACCTTTATTACACAAGGGAGCAGAAGAGACAGTCCAGGAGAAAAAAAAAAAAACAAACAAAAAACACTCTCTTTCAGTTATTAGCAAAAAGTAGCTAAAAATGTCAATGAAAGCAGCCTCCTTACCAAGGCAGGGACATCTTATATTTTCTGCTGGTATAGTTTGCTAAATGAGGTAGCTATGGTCACTATGACACAACTGCCTAGGAATGAGACCATAAGTGACTTACATAAAGTTTATGAAAGCTTGTGTTTTCATTATTTGTTCATACAAGAAGAGAAAAATGCTTTCATGCTACATGTGGTGCCAATCAGAGTGTAAAGTCTTCACAGAAAAAGTTATTGAAAAACTGTCTGCAAGTGAAACAATTTTTGAGGACTAAAACTGTGAGTTAATTAATATTTAGCTGATATTGAGCAAGGGATTATCAATATTATATGTTAACCTTCACTTTGTGAAACTGTGTGCCATATCTAGAGATTAACATTTAGTATTCCAGTTTCCTTTAGTTATTGCTGTGATATGTCAAACTGCTTTCCAGGTTCTTACAAATGAGATGTTAACATAGCTAAAAACAAATACTGAAACAGCAGAATTAGCATGCCAGGTTCCCAGAACAACTAGGCATACAAATGTATGCACTGTTTGAAAAATATAAATGCTGTAGGCAAATTAGAAAACCTGTCCTAGCAAACAAAAGAACACTACGTGGTGGGTTTTTCCGGTTGGCTTTTCGGGGTGGGGGAGCGGGATGTTGAAAGCTTAGGGAATTCTTTTTAAATGCAGATTGTAATGAAAATCAGCACTAATTTGTTACTATGTATCATGTTTCAGCTGGTAAGTTTTGACCAATATGACTACTTATACAGCAAATATTTGTCTGCCACAAAATGCATGAAAAGCATCAAGACTTTGGTCAGCTTTACAACTTCTGCTTAAAACTGTTGAAAGCATAATGAAACTGAAAATAATCTGGGCAAGAAAATAATCAGGCAAAAAGTGATCTGTATTAATAAGTTCATAAAAAACTTTCAAAAAGGAACAAAGCTTGAACACAGAGGAAATGTGAGATAACAGAAAAATTGCAAACACACAGCTCAAGAACCCAAATAGACAGAACTTCACACACTGAATCTGTCCAATACAGAACATGTAAGTTCTCTCCTTTTTCTCTGCCAGTGTGCTTCAGACACAGCATCATGACTTGCAAGTCATGAAACACAATTTCTAAGAAGGAATCAGAATTTCTTCTACAAACCTGCATATCTTTAAAAAAATGCATGTTGAAAATAGAAAAAAAGAAAGTATTACATTAAGTCATTCTAGAAACTCTACATAAATGGTAAAAAAGACATTTTGAATATCACAAATTAAATGAGCTTTTGGAAACATCCTATGGTGCCTTCTCTAGCTCTGAAGGAAGCAGTCTCCAGTTATTGAGTACTAAGGATTACCTGACTACGAGGAGAGAAAAAACAGAGTGTAACCTTCTTGACAAGAATCGCAGCTTGAAGAAGAATCTTTCAACTTCAACAAGGACAATCATCCATTTTAGGTTCAAAGTATCACACGAAAAGCTTTGAATCATTATGAAATCTTTCCTTTCTTTACTACTACTAGAACTTCCAATCTCAGTATCTTACTTAATTACATAACATAAAAAGTAACAAATTAAAGGGGAGTGAGTCTTGTAAAAGCTTCACTAGACCATCCTGTGGTCCCTGCACAGTCTTCTAAGTCAGTTTTAAGTCACCACTCAGCTTATCAAAACAGGAAGAAAAGGATCACAGTGATTGCTTTAGGATTAGGGAGGGGGAAAAAACCCTTAACTTGAAAAACCTCAAAAGACTATAAACCACAAGACTATGCAGAATTATAGTGTGCATAGAGTCTGCATGAAAATCTTACTCAGTTTTAACCATGTTTCCAAATAGTAACACAGAGTTCTTTCAGGGGACAGGGAGGTTGGCAAAGGAGTGGAAGAATCAGCTGGTTTTAAATTGGATTCCTTATGTTGTCTACTGGTAATACTATTTAATAGTCTTTCGGGAAAGAAAACCAACAACAAAGCAACAAAACCCAAAAAACCATCCCACTAATAATAACAGCAACAATATATTCATACACACATGAATATGATGCTGGGAGCACCCATTTCTTCTCTCCCCGTCCCCGAAATTTTTAATTTTGACGTATCATTTATCTTCTTTCTCTCAACAGTGAATGGCAGCTGGGTCTCTCATTATCGCCTTATCAAAGTCCCCTTCCGTAACTCCTCGCCCCGGCCAGGTTGGACTAAGGCACTGGGTGGAGATAAGCGGGCAGCAGCCGGCGATGCCGCCGCGCCGCTCGCCGATGCTGCCGCTGCGGCCACGCCGGGTGCGAGTGGGCAGGGCAGAGCCGGCACAGCCAGCACGCCCATACGGCCTCCCCGCCCTCCGGCCCACGGCAGCACCGTCACTGACACCATCGGGGCCACGGAAGCAGTTTTTGTGTCCGCATGACACACCGCCAGGACCGGCAAAGCGGCACCGCTGGCTCGAGCGGGGGAGGTTTCAGGGCCCGCACGCCCCCCGAAACCAGCACTCGTGGGGGAAAAAGACAATAAAAGCTCCCCATCTGAGCCATCTAAACCTAAGGAACCAGGGTGGGGGATGGACAGCGAGGGTATTATGGCGGGGTACCTACGATGAGGGGCGTATCTAAAGCATCTCTGGATATTGCATATCCAAAATGAAGCCAAGTCATGCAAGGGAAGAAGGGAGAGGGTTAAGACAGCACCTTGCCACCCACCAAACCCCCCCTCCCCTTGGGGCGCTAAACAAGGGAAGCTCCAGAGAGGGCTCAGGAGCCTGTGTGCGGCGCGGATAGGAGAGGGATCGGGATGCTTTTCTCAGCCTGTGTGCGCCGGGGATGGGAGAGGAATCAGGATGCTTTCCTCACCCAGCAGGAGGACGTTCTTCCCCGAAGGCAGCTTAGAGCGGGAGCGCGTGGACACCTCGCTGAGGATGCAGGACCTGGCGTGGAGAGACGACACCGCTTAGGAGGGGGCTCCCGCTTCCTCCCGGTCCCCACCCTCGCCATCGCCCAGGGAGGGGGGGATAAGGCGCGGGGGGCAGGGCAGGAGTTGCCACTGCCAAGGGGAGGTGCCCCCCGCCCCCCCCCCAGCTCAGTGACCGAGCGGGACTGAGCGCCAGCGGGAGGGGGGGATTATCCAGCCCCCCTTCCCTCGCCGCCCGCAGGGCACGGAGCCGCTGAGGGCGGCGGCGCCCAGCGCGCCCGGGTCCGCGGCCGCGGGGCGGGGCGGGAGGGCGCTCACCAGAGGTTCTGCCCATCGTCCTCATCGGCGCCCGCCCGCAGCTCCGCGTTGTTGTTGTTGGTCGTGGCCGCAGAGGCGGCGGACGAAGCCGAAGGAAAGCCGGCAACCGAGGCGAGCCCGGAAGAAGCAGAGGAGCCGAAGGAGCCGGCTCTCCCCACCGCCGCCGCCATCTTCGCTGCTGCCTCCTCCTCCCTGCCCGGCCCCGCCGCCTCCCCGGGACGCGGAGCGGGCGGCGGCGCCGCGCCGGCGGGAACCCGGATGTTGGGAGGCCGGGGGCGGGGCCGGGGCGGGGGGACTGGCGCTCCATCGGCCGGCCGGGGAGGGGAGCGAGTGCCTTGGGGTCTCAGTGTCTCCGGTGTCGCTCCTGGTCCAGCGCGCCGCTCCCCGCTGCGAGGTGTTGCCTTGGGCAGGGAGCTGCGCTGGGCTGTTCGCTCCCCCGGCAGCCCCAGCCCTGAAGGAAGCACCTCGCGTCCGAGAGAAGTAAGTGCGGCTGGGGGTGAGACGTGCTTTTTGGGGAGGACAGAGTGGCCATCCTCTTCAACAGGCCTCGTTACTTCATCTTCCCTCACGAGTATTGCTGGAGACTTGGAAAAAGATGGGTCGCATCAGCACCATTTTAACATCTCGACCCTTGCTGGAAGTCCCAGAAGAGGCAAGGAAGCAAGTCATCCTTTTCCCTCTCTTCACTTTGGTAGCGTATTTGTGAGAGTAACATGTGAATGGCTTTGAATTCTATAAAAGTTTAATGGGTGAGTTTTGTCCCTTCGGGGGCATTCAGGGAAAACCCAAGGCAGAGGACGTGTCCTTGTGTTCCTCTCTTTCGGACAAAGCGTACACATTCCCAGAGCTTCTGGATATACAGAAAGGTATTGGCTATATTAGCGACTTATGTATGCCAGCAGTTTGTACTTAAGTTTTTTCTTGCTGCTGTGTTAATTTTATTTTTTCCCGAAGACACTGCTTTTTATGTAGTATTTCGAAACAGGAAAGAAATTATCCCTTTTTCTTAGGCATGCATTTCTCTCAATGCCTTTCTGTTTGCTTTGCAACCCAACATACAAACATTCCTCTCGTGCATTTGTTGTTTTAGCAGAGATCAGGTGTTGCAACTCGTAGGTCCCCATTCATGTAAGTGTATTTCTTTCTTCAGGTGTAAAATAGGTGAAATGACAGTAGCCATGTGCTGAGTTACAGGTGCTTTTCATGACGGATGCACAGTTATTGATCAGAAGTATTTTGTTGTGGATAGAACACAAGTGTGGAAAACTGGCAAAATTCCAGTGGAGGTGCATCATCTGGTTAAGGGTGACCACTAAATAGAGGAATGCTGCTGAAAAGCCACCAGGAAAAAAACACTTGCTTCATGACCCCACAAGGCCTCCTTATGGCCTGCTATGAACTGCCTTCCTCTGTTATCTCTGTTTTTTGGCACTGTTGGGTCAACTGATTTAAATCACTAAAATAGCAGAAAACAGATTACTAAAATGGCTGAATAACACTTCCAGTTTAGCGAGTTGAATCATCTTGTGGAAAGTGTTTGACAAGTGGCAGAGCCAGAACAAAGGATGAGGAAGAGAACTGACCAGAGATTAAGGAGTGAAGGGGGTTGAATTTGGAAATCAGTGGGATGGGAATGCCTTTCCATTGACAGTAAACAGATAAATCAGCTCAGCTGCGGGTCAGGTTGTGGTTCTAAGAAAAAGGAAAAAACAAACAACCCCAACAGATTCTAGAATACATTTCCTAACAGAAGCAACTTCTAAGAGTCCAAACTTTAGCAACCTACTTCAATCAAAAGGGATAACACTGGTTTTAACATAATTTGAGAAATTGATTGCTGTTTATTGTGGTGTGTGGTCTTCAGATTTTTATGAAACATTGCTAAAAAGTGGAAAATCACTAAAATTCAATGAATTACTTTTTAACATGTCACTTGCAGAGTCACTGAAAATTACAAGAGTTTTAAACTACTTCATGTTGCTTGTTATTTTGAATTATCTTCCTTATCATATTGTTCATGTGTGAAGTGTATTCAATTGAGATATGTAAATGATATTCCCCTAGGACTTTTTTGGAACTACAGTGTGTATGACGGAATTAATATTTAAATATGTGAAAGTAGTAGAAAATAAAAGGCTACAAGGACAAATGATGATGAGAGGTGTTGCTTTGTGCTTAGTAAGGAACATATTGATGTTGAGAAAAGACGATGGAATTTTCCTGCGCTTCTGCTTTTATAGAAGCTAATGTTGCTTGCTGGAAAAAACCCAAAACCTTGTGGTTATAAATCTACCTAAGATTGTTCACGGTGAAAGAGAGACCACCTCTTTTTTTTCTCCCCTCCTCCTTCCCCTGACGTCCAGTCAGTCTGGAGTCTTTTTAAGGTGGCTTTCACTGCCTCATCCTCTTGTGATGGAGGATTTTGCTGTGTACCTGTGAAAGAGATGTGTACAGTTAAAATTCTCTGAGGATTGACTTACCAGATTATCACATCTGACAGTTTTGATGATGGTTGTGTGGTGCGTTTTCTACCTTTAGCAGAAGCCATCCCTCCCTCCTATTCTGTGTCCTCTCCATTTTATTTCTGTCTCGGGAGCTGCAGAGGAGAAAGTGAAAATGAAAATGCTTGGTCATCATACTCTTAGGTTACAAAAAAATAAGGATGGAAGCAAAAACGTTGAGAATCGAGCCTTCATCGACTGCAATGTGCTGATACAGTATCTCAAATTATTCACAGAGATAGCTGTACAACATGACAGGAAGAAGAAATTAATGAAAAGGTGTAATGAAGCAACCATGGAAAAGGGTGGGGGGGGATCAGTAAGACATTCTTTCCTCTCCTACCCTGTGAAATAAATTTCCATCTGGCAAAATGATCTTGTGAATGTATGGGAACAGTCATTCCATGCAGTGTTTTCCAAAATGTAACTGTGAATAGGAGCTGATGTTAATGATGCCCAGCAAACTTAAAAGCCTTATTTTCTTCTACCTCACCCAACCTGTAGATGTTTATCCAAGCACCTTAAATATAAGGTCTTCCCTAACTATCAAGTTGTAAGTTTTAAAGTTAGAAGTGTGTTCTCTTACCTAAAAGTACCATTCTGATTTGATAGCATCTTATGTCCAGTGGCTGTTACGCTTTCAGAGGTAGGTATGACGATACAAGACAAAGACAATGAAGAATCAGGTCCATCAACTATGATGACAAATAGCATTGTTTCAGCTGTTTGTTAAAACAGTTCTAACTTGAAAAAGCCTTGCCAGCAGCTTAACTACAGGCATGCACAAGGGAAAAGTAAGACAACATCTCATTGGCGAAATAATGTGATTTCCTAATACAGGCAAGATCTACATCCCTCTGCTGCGCTGGGGTGATGCCAAAGTGCAGACCCTGAGAGGGAGTCAGTCAGCTATTTAGCTTTGAGCCAGCTGTGCTGTGCTGTCCAGGGAGGCACCAAAAGGGAAAGGACCCTCCTCGGCACAGCTGGTTGGCAATCGCAGGAGTGGAATCTTGGTTTCTCTCACATTCTGTGCCTCTTCACTTTCTGATTGCTTTGATTATTCTGTACTCCTCTGCTTGTTCTTAACATAGGGCTCCTTGTTGCCTGTCTTCACATAAAAACTTTTGTCTGAGTTAGCATTGTATGAAATCCAAAAAGTGATGGTCCATCTTCTCTGTCTGCGCCTATTGTCAGTGGCCAAATACTATAAAATTGGTTGCAAATTTAGAAGGCTTTCTTTTTTCTTAAGCCTATGGAAATGAATTGTTGTAGTTCAATTACATTTAAAAGATTGGGTTTGGGTTCTTTGAGAGATTTTGCCTTTAAGGCAAAACCGGCTTCTTAGCAATGTTGACCCTGTTGAAATCAAAATTATAAAGGTCACAGTGCTCAATACATACTTGGAGTTCACTGTGCAGAAAGCATCTCTTTGAAAAGGCAGCAATGAAGAAGCAGAATACACAAAATTTTCAACAAGATGATTTGTTGCCTTTGGCTGTAGTGTATTCAACAGTGTAAAACTAAACTTTTAAAAGAGAAAGATAAGGTTGTTTGTCATTATTTGTGGGTCTGAATTTGTGTGAAGTTAATATTCAGAAAGCATTCATGAAGATGGTAATGATTTTTGAAAGTGCCTTTTTTGTAGTATTAACAGTCATCTGAAATTTAATCTTGAGAGTGAATTACTGATTATTTTCTTGTTTTCAACATTCAAGTTACTCTGTCAGGAAATGAGAAAATACCGTATGCTTTAGCTGAATAGTTGCGATAAAACAAATTACAAATGGGTAACTTCAGCACAGAATTAATATTTCGATCTATATACTGAAATCTATTAATATAAACTGTATAGATGATAACAAATACGTCTCAGGAGTCTTAATGAGAAGAATCCATAAGATATTATTAGACTGTGACCAGTTTTGGATATCACATTTCTGTTTCTCATTTGATCTTGTATAAATCTTGTATAAATCTTGTATAAATCATCCCCTTATGGTTTGTGCTGGTGGGTACTATAAGCTCTGCAGACCATGCAGCAATGTATCATTCTGCATACTGCGCTGGAAATTTTTAAGAATGTGCATGGCTAACTAACTTTAGGAAGCAGTGCACTACGACCTGCTACAAAGGAGACAGAGACTGTTCTGTTTCACAGAGACAGTGTTTTATTTATTTAATCTAAATTGGTTACCCTTCTGCAGCAGATGCAGCAGAGTGCCTCAAACATATGTTTAAGTACACCCTTACTTGGAATCCATGGGATTTAAAATGTGCTCTACATGTCTGGTTGATTAAAAAGACGAACTTGCTATGTGTTATGATGATTTAAATCCATTGGAAGACCAGGTATATTCCCTCTCAAGGAGTTCTTTCAGGGCCACGTGGTGTAAATCTGTTCCATTGGTTTTAGAAGGATCATTTCTTCAAAGAGAGAAATGTTCATTGGTTTTGTTTGTTTGTTTTTAATACAATACTGTTTATTCAGAAAAAAATATATATGAATGAATATTTCTCAAATTACTGTAGAGGCAGCCAGCAGCAGGCACTTTTCTTGTGCATTATTTACAGTTCTACTCCCTTAGTCAGTTCTTTACCTCAGGAAGCTGAGTGACTGCTTCTCAAGTAGCTGGCTTGCTTTATACTGGCTTTCTGTTTGTCAGATGGTGTGGCTACTGGGATAGGGTACCATAAAACAAGGAAGGATGTGTGTTTGTGGTGTGGTAGCTGCTTCACGCACCATTGTCCCAAGGTATCTGTGAAAATTTGTGTTTGCTCTGTCTTCAGTGGGAATAAAGTAAGATATTTACTGCAAAACAAGAGTGTACACAGAGGCAATTACTGCAGAGTAGCTAAAGAAGTGTAAACCTGTACTCAGGCTACCTTGCAGTGATTTATGTAAACATGCTGTTCTAAGCAGGGGCTGCCAAACAGTCACCCAACTGCTCTGTTGTGTGGTCCGAGAATCTCATCTACCGGACTTGGTTTCTAATTGTTCATTTCCCTCTGGGCCAGTCCTTGGATGGTATTTCCAAAACTATGAATAAAAACTGTAAAAGGGGCTAATGTTACAAAATCTGGAGTCCTTTAAAGACACTGAGCATTTTTAGCTGCCACCTAAGTAAGATTTCTAGAGTACTTCGCTTGGAAAGAAATATTGTGGTTGTGTGAGTATTAAATATGTTTGGTTTAGGTTTTCATCATCTCAGTGGCTTAATGATCTCGAGACATATTCCTGTTTTATCCTGCCTCTGCACAGGAGAGTTTACTTTTTATGTTACAGATTTTGTTCTCTCTCTTCAGTTTGCTATCCGTTAAAAAGCAAAGACTTTGGAAAGTGTTTTATTTAGTTACACAAACCAATGTGAGTCTCTCCATTTTTCACTTTCAAAGTCTAGTCATTGAAGGCCTACAGAGTACATATATATATATATATATATATATATATATATATATATATATATATACTTCCTAAAATTACGTGCTAAAATCATCTTGATCCTCACAACAACTCCATAAATGGATGACTTTGGTTAGTATGATCAAGTTATGTGTGCAAGACCAAACTCTACTCTCTGTGAATTGATAGGAATAATGTAGCCCAAACAAAATATAAACAAAAATTGGCAATATGCAGAATTGCCCTAGAATAGCCTCACAGTGTTTTAGAATGATTAACAGAAAAACCCAAAAGTTATTAATGGGATGAGAGGGGAAACACTGGCAGTAAGAGTTCTCACTTGAAAGCCAAACTAAAAGAAATTATATATTCAGTGAACAGAATTAAAAAGGTTCTTCAGAGTGGAAGGAGGCCTGACTGTTTGGGGGTTTGGGGCATTTATTTAAGTCCTGGTAAAACCTCTCCATGTGTTGTATTAAGAGATGTGATGCACAAAAACAATTAGCAGAACTGCACCCAGGGTGCCAAGAATATGTATTGCTGATACACATTTTTAACATATAAGGCAGCAGTTAAAAAGTAGGGATGGGGATATCATGTCAAGAGTGGAGTACATGAGATCTTGGCATGAGGCATTTGTAGCTGTCCTTGAGATAAACAGAGTAATGGGACAGGGCCATCATGGCCCTTTGCCTGACTGGTTAAAAATAAACACTGCACACATTTCATATGCATCTCTCCCTTCAGTGTGTGGGAGGAGAGAAAAATCCACACAGGAACAGATGCTCTGTTCTTGTCCCTTTCATGGCACCCTCCCAGGTTCTTATCCCTGCCCTTGGCTCAGTGATGCTGCAGTCAAGGGAAAGGCCTCTTTTTAGTTCTTAATCCCTGTGTGATGGGAGCAGGTCTATGGATGTAGCTGAGGATTAACTGATTATTTTATATATTTATTTACTCATAATAAAGGAATAAATCTTGCATCTTGTGGATAATAAAAACAATTTCTCATTACTTTGGTAAGAATCTTGACAGAATAAAGAAAAAGGATCAAATCTTAATTCAGGGAAGTACTGTCCTACGAAACTGATTCACAGCAAGAATACCTAAGTGAGAAAAAGTACCAAAGAAAAAAAAGGAAAGAAAAATTCTAGGTTTATTCAATGTGACACACTTTATAAGAAAATTAGAATTTTTTCCTGTCAAAAACAAATATATAGTTGTCCAACATTCAGTTTTGCTTTA